GCCTAAACAAAGCATGAATACTGTGCCAAATCCCGGGTCATTGTATGTAGTTTATATGGAAAATCTTAGTTTGGCATTAGCAACATTTTGGGTCAATTGTGGCAGTATCTTGAGTTTATTTATTTAGCTTTGCCAACTAGGTGTCACCACAACAGCATGTGCCAATTACTGTTGGCTCTTTTACATCACCCACCCTGTCAACTTTCCCTGTAGGAGGATACCGGGGTACCTGGAGAAAACCCATGACTTTCGACAGAGTGTTGACTTTTACTCTTCACATGAGGACTGGGTTTGAGTCGCATTGAGAAAGTTCTCACTGAGGCTTGAACCTGCAGCCTTAGAGGTGAATGGCAAGTGCATATAACAGCTTTGCCACCGAAGCCACCCATCTTCCTAAAAAAGTCCAGCTCAGTTCTATATTATAAAGTAAAACACAAGTTGAAATATATAGAATATTATAACAAAGTCTGGATCTCACCAAAACTGGGCCAGCTCAGGTACACAGGTGCCATCACCTCATATAAACAGCCACTAAATCTACCTTGCTGGATTATATAGAATGATATTTTTCATTTAGGAATTTTGGAAAAAACAGTTGTTATGCACCAGTATTTTAAACAGTCTTTTACCAGTGAGAATAGTTGTATTGGATGCAGATGTTACTTCAGTTGCATGCTAGCCTTACATTAAACATGTCAAGTGAAAGCATTTGAATTTTGTATTTCTTGCTTTGTACACTAACCAAAAATAGGAAATTCATTGTCAATCAATCAATAATTTGCTACCATTATATATCAACCTTAATATGTATTTTTTTCTTAATAGAGATTGTATTTAATATGGATTCATTATATATCCTGATCCTGAATGAAAAGTTATTAATAAAAGCTTCCCAGCAGAAGGCAAGTTGTCTAAACAAGTGGCAATATATATAATCATTAATGGCATTTTAAGTACTGCATAGTCTATTTGGAAAATGTTATTCTTTGCTGGAGAGTATGTTTATGCAGGATTAACAAACCTGACAAGGAATGGAGTTGCTGACTTGTGGTATGAAGCTTGTACTTTTAAATTTTAACTAGTGGACTTGTATGACATGCTTGATTGAGCAGTGACAACACTACATGCAGTACAGGTATATTATACTAACTTGTAAATATTCTACATTGAAGAGAATTATGTTAACCTTTTATGTGGCAATGGGCTCTACCTTATTATTTTTTCTGTCTAATGCCAGACAATTTTACTCATGAAGGAGAGAGTGTTGCCACTCAATGGGTTATAGCCAAATTTCTGTAGATGGAAATTTTGAACAATAACTATGTAATAAGTACTGTGCCGGGAATGGAACCTGTTGCCCTGTGATTCAGAACAGTTCCTTAACAGCCGAGAGTCCATCAAGCCCTGAGAGTCCAAGCGCCAAGAATCCATCAAGCTAACCAAGAGTTCATTTATACAATACTAGTGTCATCCCAGTTTATTTAATATACTACCAGTGACACCACCATCATGGTATAATTATACAGAAAGTTACATCTTGGCAAAAGGACTCTTTAGGTCAGAGGGCTGCAGTAGAATTGCAGGGCTGCAGGTTCAATTCATGCTGGCAGGCTTGTAATTGTATTAAAACTGTATGTGTACCAGCGTGGGTAGTACCAATGTGAAATTGCTGTGCTGAGTGGTTATATTACTACCTGAAAAAAAAAGCAAACAGAAACTGAATGTTTTGAGCAAAGACCATTCGCTCGAAATGTTGAGTTTCTGCTTGTTTTTTTTTTTGAGGTAGTAATATAACCACTCAACACAGCAATTGTAATTGTATTCCTTTGCAATTGCTCTCACATAGTTCTAAGGTACCTGTAGCTCTAGTTTATTTAATTGTCTTATTGTATTGTAATGATATATTTTTTATTAAATTCCATGTATATAATATATACATGTTCAGTGATGTAAGACTCACAAATTTTCTTCATTTTAATGCAGTGTATAGGTCGTGACATTAAATTGGTCGAAATGACAAAAAAAAATTGGTCGAAATGACCAAAAAAAAATTGGTCACCTGGATGCATCTGAGAGAACCAATTAAAAATGGTCGTTTTAACCAATAAAATTAACCATTTTATTAATTGGTCAAAACAACCAAAAATATTTGGTTATATTAACCAATTATTATTGGTTGAAATGACCAATTAATTAATGGTTAATTTTATTGGTTAAAACGACCATTTTTAATTGGTTCTCTCAGATGCATCCAGGTGACCAATTTTTTTTGGTCATTTCGACCAATCAGTTTTTACAGTGTATGGTGGAACTTGTATTAGTGTATGTGTAAATATAGTATAGTTTTGTGTTTGTGTGTATAATGAGTACTGTATATCTTCGACGTTTGTTCTTGTTATATATATATATATATATATATATATATATATATATATATATATATATATATATATATATATATATATATATATATATATATATATAGTTTTCCGTTTTACCTCAAAAAACCACAACAGTCTGTTTCATCCGTGGTTTTTTGAGGTAAAACGAAAAACTGCACTGTAAAAACTGATTGGTCAAAATGGTCAATTTTTTAGGTCGCAACCATTGGAAATTAGTCATTTTAACCAATTGTTTAATTAGTTAGTCGCACTTGACCAAATAAATTTGGTTCCTTTGACTATTACTTAATTGGTCGAAAAATTGGTCATCTTTTGACCAATTTATAAAAGTTAATATAACCAACTTTTTATTGGTCATTTAGTTGAGTGTACACTGTTAATTTCAAGGAGGTATTTTAACTCCACTCGGATAATTAAAATTGGGAGTGAAAATTTTGGAGTTAAATTTACTCCAAAAATGAAGTTAAAACTATACTTTAGTCTTGGATATGTTTTCGAACATAAACTCCACTGAGGGTCCATTTAACTCCACTTACAGGAGTAAAATATAACGGAGTAAAATATAAATTTTACTCATAAACACCGAACGGAATAACCGAATAAATTTTACTCATAATCAAAATAACGGAGAAAATATAAGTGGGAGTAAAAATATCGAGTAATATTCCGCCTGGTTTTTACTCGGCCTGTGTAATATAACTCGCGACCATTAAACATAGAAATTCATAGGAATGACAAACACTACATTCAAGTTTCTTCAACCGTGAATTAGGGCGATATTTGCTATACAAATTCGTAGTAAAAGCCTGCAATTCGTGTAAAATCATCACAAGACCTAGCTGGTTCACGCGCTTTTTCTTGAATGTTGCCAAGTCAGATTGCTTTATTACCGGTATCGGCTTTTTATTATTCAATCGCGCGCGAGGATCGAGTTTTTGTCGTCAAATTAATTTACTGTCATTGCTCTCAGTATATCAGTTTTGTCTATTTTTGATTTGCTGCGTAAATCTGTAATTTGAACTGGTTGAATGTCCTATTGCTGAATTATGCTGAATATAATTTGCGACAAGTGGAAGTTCCAGAGTTTCAACCAATTAAGATGCTTAGAATATATCACGTGTTGTAGTAATTCGATCTGTTGACACCAAAGCGCCAAGTTTTATCCTTTGGGAGCATGAAACATTCAAAGAGGAAAGATTTTTATTCAAATTTTCAATTATAAAGTTCCAAAGACCTGATAAAATACATGGAGATTGTTTTCAAAGGTATGTCTCTTGTGTATTTACTTATTTGTATGCGGATAGTTACTTGATATGCTGTGTAGTTATATTTGTAAATCGAAGGCCTGACAGTATTTTATAGTCGCTTCGCCGAAGGCATCTAGACGTTCAGTTGTAAATTTTCGATTTACAGTCTCTACTTGTGTGATATACATGTATATTGTATTTTCTGTTAAGTATTTGCTAAGTTGACATGTATACTTTAATATATGTGTGATTTGTTTGAAATGCGTATACTATAAACTCTTGAGTCTTGACAAAGTGCTTTCATGCGAAACGTCGAGTTTCTGCTGTTTTTTAAGATAGTAATATAATCACTCAGCACAGCATTTTCACATTGGTACTACACACACTGGTGCAGACAGTTTTAGTATAGAGTATATATTCTGATTAATAGCATGTAGACAGCATTTCCCGATATTTAATACTCAATGTATGGCATGTACTTGCTATCATGGTAACCCTCCTATCAGTCAGCCGTTACACGTGTAAGATGCTGCTCCCATCCGGTCGAAAAGTAGCAATTTCGAGTGGTGTTGTTTTAAACGCATATATCTTTCAAAATATACATCGTACGAGAATAGAAATTGCATCGTTCGAAAGAGGAGGACTTCTGCTTTCCAACGATACCAATTTCATCCGGAGCTTGGTAAGCGATTTACTCGCATAAATTTGCATAAATTATGATATACAAAAATGTTGCAATTATGCATAAATGTATTTAGCGGTTCAAATTTCAAATATGTCAAAACATGTTATGAATATGACTGAAAGACACGGTTATGATCTACAAGTACACGAAGTTTCATGCATGTAGCATAAATAGAAATATTTTTATTGAATTTTTTTATAAACTAGGTAGTGGAGTAAAATTTACATTTTGTGTTCACATGAAACAAATACCTTTATCAAAGGTCCTTTTTTATTGCTGCAACATGTTGTCAATACAAATTTCCAATATTTCTTACTCTCCAAAGATAGTATGGCACCAAAATAAGTCTGTGATACCCACAAAAAAACACTCAAATCATGATTAGCAAAATGTCTTTATTTCTACAGTTACTACATACATTCTTAGACAATCATTACACCATTGACTTTAGTTATTAGTGGCATAACCAGCCTCAAAATTTGGTCATGCTATTCAAATTTGAAATAATCACTACTCAGTTGTTTAGAAATTGATTGTTTTCACAATCTAGAACATGAAAATATTTGCAAATAGCATGACTAAGTGTTGTTGGGCTGGCATCATCATAATTAGTAGTTATAAAAAAGTAATGTTTTCCAAGGCAGTAATGTTTGCTAAAGCAGTAATGTTTGCCAAAGCACATAATTGGATTATGTGGTGAAAATATTTCATTATGTGGTGAAAATATTTCCTTTATATTGTACTACAAAAGACCTAAGACTGTAACCAAACTGATATCAGATCACCACGTCATACCCAAATCCGTTGCGATGAATATCTGGACTTCTTCCTGTATAAATTTCAAAATCGCAAAATAACAATTAGGATTGTTCGCAGCAACCCACAGATTTTCCCCCCAAATAGTAGGTCATCTAGCTTTCATGAACTGCCTAATCCCCAACCTATTTCTTGATTTGACAGACGTGTGTTTGTTTGCAACAACAATATTCTGTGACGGCTGGTACAGTTGTTGATGCAGTTTATTGCTGTAGTCTTTAGTACAGGATCTACTATATTCACAAACGCCATAAGCGCTTTGTACCCAACCCGAGAAATTATTTCTATTGCCCACAGACCATGATATAAGGTTTTTACACTCCAATAATTTTCAATCTCACTGTCGACCTTTAGCAATCCTGCATATACTAAAAGGCAATCAACCTCTCAAGGTTGGTGGACTGCAAGACCCTTCCTTATTAGTATATGGGGATAACTTTTGAGTTATTTGTATGTGGGCATATGTATTGGTATGGCCAGGAAGCTACCTCCTGTTCAAAGCATTCCCTTAGTAAAAAAGAGTCGAATGAACTCAAGTTCACAGTTCATTGAGCCGAATGAACTCAAGCTCACAGTTGATCGAAATGGATCCTGGACATGTCAGTGAGGAGCAAAATCTGGGAGAATATTCCTAGCGTCAGGATCATCATATCCGTCATGTACTACGGGGCCTATTGGGGATGCTAGACAGGGAGCTTTCGAAACCTTAGGTCCTAATGGCTGGGCTTCCCTCTACCTCTACTTATCCCCTTACCTTCCCTCTGGGTTGGGGAGTGGGGAGTCATCAGAACTCTACTTCCCTGAGGCTATGAAACAGGAACAGCAGATAGGAACAGGATCAATATATTCATCAGGGCAAATAAAAACGTTTTTTATAGACATGGTGCCACTTAAAATTATAATAAGAGCCAAACTAGTAAGATATAAGTATGAATATTTGGATATTATGTATGTAACAAACAACCAAACATGTGCTCAAGGCTCATTTTACTTCGCCTAGGAATCAGAGATTTTTATGCCTAAAACACCATAAATTTTCGTTAACAATATAAATAAATACCATTTATATTTGTCAATTTCAGTATGAAACTATTATTTCAACACAAAAAAGCGATATGAGGACATACTTGGACGTACTAGTGAAGCTATACTAAATACAAATAAATTTACAACGCCATGGCAACGGCAAAACATTGAAATAGAAATTGTCTAGAAATGACACAAATACTTGCCTTGAAACTCCAGACACGACTCCCAATGCCAGGTTGAGATACTTGTCTTCATACGAAGACATTCCATCATTACTAGCACTATCAGTTTGCAAAATAAAGCCAAAAACGTCTTCAGAATGCGATTCAAACAAAACTACAACACAATACGCACTCATGAAAAACAGGTAGTTTTGTAAATATGTATAGTATAATTTATCATATATCTAATTTCCTTTGTTACTTTATCATAAGTGTGTAAAATCCTGATGAGTCCACCGTGACTAAATAAAGTTCACAAACAAACAAACAATACATTTCAACGCTCGTGTGTTCCCGTGCGCGATAATCAGGAAAATTGCTCTAAAAGACTTGATTTTCTGGCTAAGCCAATCAAAATCCGTATCTAGGGTAAACAAAGGCTCCGGAATTGATTCCTGCAGTCATTTACCGGCTATCTTTAAAAAGGGAACGGGAATGGGGGAATGCGGGAATGGGGGGATGCGGGAATGGGAGAATGCGGGAATGGGGGAATGCGGGAATGGAGGAATGGTGGAATGAGGG